TAAAAATAGTAATTAGTACACGTTTTGGTGGGGGGTAAAATATTAATATTTTAAATTTTATACAACCCCATTAAATTACTAAGATAGAAACGCCTAAGGCATGTTACAATAATAAAGGATGGGGTAAACTGTCGAAATTGTGGAGAAGAAAATTAAGTTTATAGTACCAGTTAACAACCCTATTCGCTTATGGTTGACTGTGAATATTGAATATTAATTCACGAACATCCTCTGAGTCATAATAAAAAGTAAATACAAACACTTTTTAAACCCCCTCGGATATAGTTATCTGCAAATTCCAAATAAAAATTAGAATCTTTTCAGTAATCTTATTAAAATACACACACATAAGTATTATCAAAAACCCAACCGACTTTGCCCTTGGGATCATTTACATATACAATTTCACCTTTTATATTTTACACTTACCTTTAAAAGGTATGAACTTCCTTAAGGACATTTATTTCTAACACAAGCACAATTCAACACCCATTATCATGTCTTATGTGAATGCCCAGAAAACATAATATATTTTACAAAAATGATTTTTCATAATGAATGGTTTGATTTTGAACATGGTCTGGTCATGAATAGAATGCTCAGTGGTATAATTATGATCATATTTCAACATTAACAGCAACAACAACAACAACAAAGGCCTTATACAGTATTTTTCGGTTAATTGCACATCGAAATTTGCACAAATTTTTGTTCAATTAACCGAGGAACCAATTATCCGAACCCGCTTAATTGAATAGTTTGTTCAATTACAGTAATCACGTATAATTGGAACTATTAATGATTTAAAAAAAATCCAATTTAAAATACAAATTACGCATTCTCGAAGTTTTTCCTTATCAATAAACATTAAATTATGTCAAATATGTATGTAAAAATGACAGATTATTTGTCAATTATTATTATGCAATTAACCGGTGAAAAGTAAAAGGAAATTTATTTTTGATGACATGAATTTTGAACCAATTAAGCGGGAAAATCAATTAACAGGGTTTAATTATCCGAGAAAATTTACATGTATTTTCCTATGAAATATTTTTTGCCCCATCATGTGGTTCAATTAAGCGTGGAAACCAATTAACCAATTAGGGTCAATTAACCGAAAAATACTGTATTAATTTTCTAACCTAACTGTCTGGCCAAAGGCCAAAGCACTAACTCCTCCACCACCACTACATCACGTAGAGCTGTAAATAATAATTTTTTGTAAAAGCTCTTCCATGGGCCATGTTAATATTAAATGCATAAAATAATTTATGCACGACAGTATGTGTGTGTATGTATGTAAATTTTTGAAAATTAGATACATTAATTACAATTATTTTACTAAGAAGAATGTTGTCAGGTCGGCATTATATTTTTATGAGATACTTACCTTTGTGTGTGTCCTGAAGTAGTTGTTTGTGTGTGTGTGTTTGGAATTATTTAGTTAGTCAGGAAATGTTCTGTAAAGATTACCAAGATACATGAAAGTAATTATAGAATGCAAAATGGTTATTAAAACTATTTCGGAATTTAATTAACAAAACATGTATTGTATTTCTATTGTGTAATTCTTAATAAATGTCGATATGTTATAAATTTCTTGCAAACTTTAAAAGTATATAATTTAGATATTTGAAGTCAGATATCAAAAGTCGATTGTAACATTTCAATTCATTGTTTCGGATTTCCGATAGGAAGGATATTCTAATATGGAAATGACAAACCAATTGATATATTCCCAAAATATCATATTATTTCAATCATCATGGAGGCTGTGGTGGTATATACCTAAAGATCGACCCGTATTTATAAGTTTCGGTAGGAAGATTTGCCACCCAATTAGAACTTAAAAAATAAATTAAAATCCAAATCGGTTAAAAATCATGCCTGAAATAACAAAATAATGACATTTAGGGGGAATATATGTAATCAAGTGGAGATATTGGTAATTTTTAGTAAGACAGATTTACCACCCGCTGAAAATAAAAAATGTATACAAATGCTGAAATTCTTAAAATACAGAAATTATTTTATTTCGTACCAATCTCGACCTTTAACCAATGTTTAAATCTATCTTTAGGTTACGTATAAGCCATACGCCACTCTCAAGACCACTCTCTTACTACTATACTAAGTATCTTAACTAATAAGTATTTGAAAGACTTCGTTATTCAAATGCTTCAAAGAAAAATTAATAATAAACCAGTAAGGAAAGTAGTAAAGTCGGTCGGAGCCGACTATATAATACCCTTCACCACTTTGGGTATATTCAACAGACGAATGCTAACAGACTTCTAAATTTGCAACCTATACTAAATTTTTCATTTGTTCAGATATAGGGTTGCTTCTTACAATATGACAAAATTACCAAAACTCGGGAGAAAATATATATAGAAGCTCTATCCAAATCTGAACCGATTTCAAAATTTTCCACATTTCAAAACTTTAGTACGTTGTACAAAATTTGTGTCTATTTTATGTAAAATCGGACGAAAATATATATGTAGAAGCTATATCAAAATCTGAACCGATTTCAATGAGAATGGCAGAGATTAACTTATATTAACTACAGATTATTGTACAAAATTGTGTGGCAATCGGACAAACTATGGGTCTTCAGTGCACAATTTACATAACATCGGAAGAAAAAATATATAGGAGCTACATATAAATCTGAACTGATTTTCAGGAAACTTTACGCACATCACTCCATACTCATTTCAGTATACTATGCCAAATTTTGTGCAAATCGAAATATGTATAGGGACTTTGGTATACCATTTACATTAAATCGGACGAAAATGTATGTAGGAGCTATATGTAAATCCAAACCGATTTTCACGAAACTTAACGTGCACTATTCTAGACTTAATTAAGTATGATATGCCAAATTTCGTGCAAATCGAAAAATAAATATAGGGACTTTGGTACATCATTTACCTTAAATCGGACGAAAATATAAATGGGAGCTATATCTAAATCTGAACCGATTTTCAGGAAACTTAACACACATCATTTTAGACCTAATTCATTTCGCTATGCCAAATTTCGGGCGAATCAAAAGATATATATAGGGACTTTGGTACATCGTTTACCTTAAATCGGGGGAAACTATATATGGGAGCTATATCTAAATCGGAACCGATTTTCAGGAAACTTAACACACATCATTCTAGACCTAATCCATTTCACTATGCCAAATTTCGGGCAAATCATGGGTCTATCTCGATTATTTTTGCCTGTTACAAACATATGCACAAATACATAATACCCTGTACCACAGTGTGGTGAAGGGTATAAAAACGATTCCGAAAAGCGGAATCTGAATTTATATTCTGAGAATACATTGGCTCAAAAATCCAGCCAGATTCGTAATGCGTAAAATGAAACGGGATCTTAAAGTGGGGAGAAATAATTCAAATAAACACCTCGGGATGTCAACTTGATGACAATGAGCTGTAAGGAACAGAATTTTCCATTACAATATAATGCAAGAACCTCCAAAATATCCTCATGTGGAGGCTATACCGCAATATGCACCTACAATGAAACATTTTAGACAGAAAATTTGTCACACTCTGAACCTCGGATTTTTACTTCGGTTAGAAAATCCAGCTAGAACCATTATCTACGTTGATCTTTAAGTAGTGGTATGTCAAAACATAACCTAACATTAAAAATTTTATGCGAATTTTTTTTTTTGTATATTGGCACTCGACTTTCGGAGGCAAAATAGTACTCTAAGTGTTAAATCAGTGGTAAAAAAATTAAAATTTACCTGTCCTTTTTTGCGAAGGATTTTGCGATTTTTATTTCAGCCGTATTAACATTTATAGTCATTATATTATTATTTACGCTAAGAACGAGGAGATTTGGATATCCTCCACCATACCCTCAGTAACTTGAAAGAAGAGGACCTATACCGACAATACCAAGCTATTGTTAATGTAATAATGCAATTTAGATACAAACGTTATTCGGGGCTTTTCACATCGTGTAGGAATTACAGATCTTATATGAGGTGCTATGCCTAAGGAAAGTAGTAAAATCGGACTGGGTCAACTATACGATAACCTTCATCACGTTGGGTATATACTACAACAAAACGTAATAACGTCATTCTAGTCTCAATTTGATACTTTATAATTTTTAGTGGAGAGATTTGGTACCCAATGTATCAATTTAGAGCGAATTCGCCTAAAAACACCCTCAAATCCCTCATAACGCAGAACATTTGGGGTTACTGTTATAAATTTGACCTGCCTGCTGAAAATGTCGTCTTTCTTAGAACTTTTTGCCATATCTTAACGTATTTAAGTACAATCAACCAAAAGAATTAAATCGGCATAGATTAAACCTCTGGAAATGAACCTCTTCAAATTAAATTTATCTTGGTTGGAAAGCGAGACTTTTGAATACCTAAAATCAGTATGGGGCTATGTGAGAAAATGGACCGACATTTAAAAACGTCTGCAAATGTGTTTTCCAGAATTCGGAGACCAAATGAAAGCCCTTTCGTTGAGGAAATTCGACAAAAAATTTTAAAATATCGAAGATGGGATGGAGATCATTTTACGGGGATATGTAAAAACATTGTCATACAAAGTTCTTCAAAAAATTTGACCTGCCTACGGAAAAAAGACAACTCTAACCAAAGTTTACGCTTCTCTTTTTTTTGTTTCTCATTTTTAAAGAACAAGAATTTTGAAATTAAAGTTTCCTTGGTGTACCGTTATATGGGAGCTATACCAAACGTGTCATATATACCATTTACAATACCAGGTGTCATAGGAGTATAGCAAAGTGTATTATATTCTATCCTCATACCAAATTTAAAGATTCTACTTCAAATGTTATGTGCGCTAAATTACTTAGACCTCTACATAGAATAAAAATGATTAATACCGATTAAAAATTAAGAAAAACCAGCATAAAATTCGAATACTTTCCAATTTTTATTTCTAAATGCTCTTCATAACAACATTAAATCGAAACCTCTAAGCATCCTCCGCTTCTTCATTGTTTTGTTCACCTTCAACAATCTGACCTTCATCCTCATTCAAATCTTGATCTTCGTCGACAACAACTTCATCGGCTTCCACAGTATCTCCAACATCTTCCTCATGATCATGATCCGAACCCTGAGGTCTACATCCACCCAATGGCTTCTGCGGCACCTTGGCAATATTCTCTTCATAATAAAGATGCATATCAGGTCTATCCCATATACTGTTGACCCATTCAATTCGAAAATCATATTTGGCACAGGAGCAGAATTTACGTGAACGATGACAGACGGGACATGTGGCCTGTATCGCTTTGCCATGGATAAATTTACGTACCGTCTTACGTTTACAGCAATGGGGGCAGGAGTGAGGCTTTTTAGGGGAATCTTTCTGTTGTTTCTGCACCGAGCATGGTGGTGGTTTGGTGTAAATCAAATGACCACGATTCTTAGTACAGAAACAACAATTACATTCTCCACTAACGGGTTTGGCTTTTCGTGATTGCATGCGATCGTAGAATTTCTTATAGATCACCTTAATTTTGGCCTCCACCCCGCGTTGTTCATCACAACTCAAACCATCGAATTGGGCATAGGATTCTGCTGTTTTCTTTGCCGCATGAACATAAAGACATTCTTCGGAGAATGAAGGTTTCTCGGATTTCTCGTCATGTGGCCGATAGTAGAATGCCTTAAAGCCACGTTTTATTATTGTATAGGCCAAGTGGGCCTCCACCCGATTCATAAGACACTTTCGACCCAATTCATGAAAAATATCCTCCTTGCGTAAACGTTTTGTCGGCTTGGCATCTAGACAGTAGCAGACCAAATCGTAGTGGAGGAACGAATAGGTGATTATATCCACAGATGTTTTGGCTTTACATTCGTGTATACCACATAGAATCATTATTTGGGCCAAGCTATGAGAGATATCAATGAGATTTTCCAAAAACATCGAGGAAACATTTAAATCGTCGCGAACACATTCACATTCTAGATTTTGATCGATAACACCCAAATTGGCGTGACGTTGACATTCACGATGTTTGCACGTGGTGCGACAATTGAAATTGGCCAGAGATTGCATGGTTTTTTGGAAATAATTTTGGAATTCACTTAAAATTTTATTAACTTTTGTTATTATTTATCAAAATAATTTTATTAAAAGCCTATGTTATTTTTTACGTTGTCAAAATTGTTTGACAAAAGAACCTACATTATAGTACCACAGTCAAAATTCCATAATTGGATTTTCTGAAGACTAATTACACAAGGTATACATATGATTCATAAAAAAATATTCCTTAAAAAATCCACGCCTTGTGAGAGCCATAAAAAAAGTTCTTTAAAAAATCCACGCCTTGTGAGGGCCATAAAAAATATCCCTTAAAAAATCCACGCCTTGTGAGGGCCATAAAAAATATCCCTTAAAAAATCCACGCCTTGTGAGGGCCATAAAAAATATCCCTTAAAAAATCCACGCCTTGTGAGGGCCATAAAAAATATCCCTTAAAAAAGCCACGCCTTGTGAGGGCCATGAAAAATATTCTTTAAAAAATCCACGCCTTGTGAGGACTAATAATAATATTTGGTAGGAAAATATTTTATCAAATTTCCAAAATTCCAAATTATAACCAAATCAGTTGAAAAGCGAGTCTAAATTCCGAATATTGGGTGGTACATAGGGGAAATACGAGAATGTGGTCGATATTGATAATTGTTGCTCATGATAATTACAAATGCTAAATTACAGTCGATTCGGTTGAAAAACGTGCCCAAACTCCCAAAAGCAACCAAGTTATGGGGTTATAATTATGTTGGGACTATCCTAAAACCAGTAAGGAAAGTAGTAAAGTCGGACTGGACCGACTATATGATACCCTTCAGCACTTTGGGTATATTCTACATATGTATCGTAAAAGACGTCGCCTTTTCGAAGGAACATTGATATGAAATTAAACGAACTTAAATATGTGATCTTTATCTATATCTAAACCGACTAACATCAATCCCTACACATGTCATTCTGCAACCTATGCTAAATTTTGTAAATCGATTTAAAGCAAACTTGACACACGCTATTCAGTATGGTGCACTGTTTAAAATTTAATGTCAATCAGACACCCATTGATGATTTGGTGTACAATTATGAATAAATTATATCGACGCCTCCGAACCATAGTATGCTAAGTCGACTTAGCATGTTTTAAAGTTCTTAACGTTTTTAGATAATACGGTCCTTAATTTATATTCTCTGAAATTTTGGTAATCATCGGCCACCAAACCAAAGTTATAAGCAAAAATGTACTTAGCATGGCCCGTAAGATATATGAAACTTCCATACTTTGAGAGCTTCTACTGAAAAACTCACTTTTCTGACTTAGCATATTATGGTTCGGAGGCGTCGATATATGGAAGCTATGCTATATCTATATCTGAACCGATTTCAAGGAAACTTGCCAGATATTAATTCATATAAACTTGAGTATGTTGTTTCAATCGGCCTAGCTTTGGATCTTTAGTGCACCAATTACATAAAATCGGACGAAAATATATATAGAAGGTGTATGTAAATTTGAACCGATTTTCACAAAACTTTGCACACATCATCCTAGTCTTAATTCAGTACGCTATACCAAAATCGGCCATGCACCATTTACATAAAATCGGGCGAAACTATATAGGAGCTAAATCTAAATCTGAATCTAAATCTGGACCTTAATTCAGTACGCTATGCCAAAATTCGTGCAAATCGAAAGATATATAGGGACTTTGGTGCACCATTCAACTAAGATCGGGCGAATCTATATATGGGAGCTATATCTAAATCTGAACCGATTTTGACGAAACTTAGCAAACATTATTCTAGGCATAATTCAGTGCGCTATGCCAAAATTCGTGCAAATCGAATTATTTCCAGGGACTTTGGTGCAGCATTTACCTAAAATCGGACGAAACTATATATGGGAGCTATATCTAAATCTGAACCGATTTTCACGAAATTTAGCACACCTCTTTCCAGACATAATTAAGTACGCTATGCCAAAATTCGTGCAAATCGAATGATTTTTAAGGACTTTGGTGCACCATTTACCTAAAATCGGATGAAAATATATATGGGAGCTATATCTGAAACTATTTTCTGCAATTTTCTTGGGCCAAATAAGTGACTTGTGCTAAATTTCATCAAAATCGGACTATAAATGCGACCTGTACTTTGTTTACAATTTAACATCAACAGACGGACGGACGGACATGCATAAATCGACTCAGAAAGTGATTCTATGCATATTCTCAAAAGGAACAATGTGTCTATCTCGTTTCTTTTTGCCTGTTACAAACATATGCACAAAGACATAATACCCTGTACCACAGTGTCGTGAAGGGTATAAATATTCTAGGAGTGATAGCAATGTATATGTAAAGTTTCATAGATTTATATATATTATATATTGCGATATCTATCGTAATTTCAATAGAGAGACGAAGAGGGCTAAATCGTCTACGAAAACTATTTTGAGGTCTTGAATGTGGAATGGCAAATTGATTATACATTTCACCTTATGGTGGAGTGTTGTACCTACTATGGTACAAAAATTAGTCAGCACGTGCTGCATACATACAAAGTTTTGCAGATTCTCATATAAAAATTTCGTCAAGTTACAACGCAATACCCGGAACCCATACAAAGAAAAATACTTCGTTCAACACAAAACATCAAAAATTAAAATTTCTTTAATATCGTATTTAATACGTTTAATTTTTATATATCATTCAAAATGTCGCCAACAGATATGCTATTATTTTACACAAAAAAATGGGCACTTACATTTGCAATCTTTCATTCACATATCATGTGAAAGCTTACAATGCAATGTGTCAGAAAATCATAATCCTGACAACCAAAAAGGATTAATGTTCCAATATTTTGTTTCATTCCTTTTTCTCTTTTTGTGAGAAAAAAACACAGAGCTTTAAACATATTTTATCACTTTACGGACAGGTGACTTTTGATAAAATATCAAATTTATTTTACTTACAAAATTATCCCGCTATGAAAAATTATTAGAAGAGGTTGAATAATTTTAAGGAAATTACGTTTTACCCTTGTAGAAGATAAGAAAAATGAATTATTACTGTCATTATAGAGATGTATTGTGACAAGATTTATTAAGAAAGCCCACGAGAAAAATCTATTTATCTCTATTACGAAGGCCATAAATTTCCCTACATTATCATTTTATTATAATTTTGTTATTTTCCGCTTGGACCCACATTAATATTTATTTTTTTATGTTTTTGTCATGTCAGTGGCTCTTTTTGTTTTTGCTCCACTCAATCTCTGACAACAACTCATTTGCATATGACGTCGTACATCCGACAGATATAAAAAATACAGGATTTTTTTCCATCCATTTTTTATGCTGATACTGTGTGATACTATCTACCTGTATTTTAACGCTTTTCAAGGAGTAAAATAAAAATGACTACAGTGTGAGTGAGATAGACTGTGTCACACAGACCACTAACTGTGTAAGTTTAAATAAATGATGGCAATTTTTATGTGAAGAAATATCTCAAACGCATTAATTTCCATGAAGAAGAAGATGGTGAACAACAAGTGTGAATAATTCTGTTATTATATGGATTCACAGAGAATCACAGAATGGATACATTCATGAGCTGATAGAATCTGAATATCCGGTTTAAAAATGTATAAACCGTTTTTTCTCCAAATTTAGTTCTTGACGTATTCGGTATAACTTTATATGTTTCTAGAAAATATTTTGGACAAATCCGAGAGTTCTACATAATAAGGCATGTTATTGATTACCTACATAGAAGGCTTAAGTGACAAAAAAAAAAAACAGCTAAAATAGTGAACATCGATTTATTGTCTTTGAGGACCCCACCTAAAATCTTAAGAGCAACATTTTTGTAGAATATTGCGAGGATGAAAAATCACATTTTGTGATAATTAGAGTACGTTTCAATAAATGATCAAGCCATATCTCCGAACTTTGACCTATGGCGAATTTTTCCTTCTGGGGTTTTCATATAAACACCAGACTTTTTTACTCCCAATAAGAATTTTCCACCCACCAGACCATAACCTCGAATTTGTCGCACAGTGTTATCAGACAAATACGCGTGGATTGTTTTATGAATATTTTCTGAAGGACTATGAGACAACTTAGTGTGGATTTAAGAAATATCAGAGCTATAGGAGTAGATATTGAAAGAATATTAGGTTTGGGGAAAAAGAAATCCAATATTTTTATATGAACTATAGGACTTTATTTAACATGCTTCGGAATGTCCGATTTGGGCCAAACATGCACCGTTTGGTTTCAGGACTTGTTGCCATTTTAAAGGTAACTTCATAATGCCTCTCTCATAGAAGTTCTGCTCTCTATTTGTAAAAAAACTTCTAGTAGTCGATTTTCACAATCCTCCCTAGATACCAATTTTTGAAGCAATTCATAATAAATAATTCCCTTCCAGTCCCACAAAATGCATAGCAGAATCTTCCTGGTCATTAGTCCTGGTTTGGCCACCGTTTGAGGTGCTTCACTGCTCTTTGACCATGATAATTTTGACACAGGGTTATCGTATGTGATCAGTTTCTCATCTCCAGTCACCATCCGCTTAAGAAATGAGTTTATCTCATTCCGTTTGGCCAAGGCTTCGCAGATGGAAATTCAATCCATCCATGCTATTTTTTCCGTTAATTAACATCGATGCCTTAAAACTTCCCAACCAAGCTTCCGGAAGTTTCTGGCGAGTCACTGTAGATGTGTGTGGCCTAGCGTTGTCCTTGTGGAACACGACACCTATCCTGTTGGCCAATTCTGGCCGTTTCTGGTCAATTGCAATCTTCAAACGCTCCAGTTGTTGACAGTAGAGATCAGAATTTTGCATTTGGCTATATGGAAGCAACTCATAATAAATAATTCCCTTCCAGTCCCACCAAATGCATAGCAGATTCTTCCTGGTCATTTGTCCTGGTTTGGCCACCGTTTGAGGTGCTTCACCGCTCTTTGACCATGATAATTTTGACACAGGGTTATCGTATGTGATCAGTTT